CGTCCTTTCGAAGCTGTGTATGATTAAAAAAAATTTTTTTTGTTAGTGAAACATCGAATTCCTAAAAAGTACTTTAATGCACATAAATTAGTTACCCGGGCAATTGAATCAATTAGCCAATCAGATGAATGTCGGCCTATGACACTAAGCATATAAAATTTCGGATCTGCATTAAATCCTCTGCAGATCATCGACATATCTACAAACTTTTATTTAGTATTCTAAATGGTATATATTTTTTTTATAAATATGAGCATTCTCTTCTTTTATCACTCGGTTTTTCTTTCGTATTAAATAAATTGTTTTTGACTGTAATTCGAATAAAACAAATATTTTAGGCTGTTTTTTTAGCCTATTTATTCTTATATATTCGTAAAACACTTTGGCTGACCATGTCTTATTCAAGTCGACGACGAAGAGGCTCTTACGCGACCAAAGCATGTAATAATTGTCGAAAAAAACACATAAAGTGCTCCGAAGGAGTTACTTGCACATATTGTGCATCGCATAACCTTCAATGTACTTATGCTGAATTAGTTAAAAAACGAGGCCCGAAAACGGCAAATAGAGCAGCTAACATTTTTGGAAATAACTACTATGAAGCTGCAAATGCAAAACAAGAACACGTATTGACTCCAAATGAATATCAATTTAACTCTATTCCTTATTACCTCAACGGTAATGAAGAACCTCAACTAATCCAAAGCGATTTCTTTCCCAATCAAGTACATATTGATACCAATTATATTATACAAAATAACAACACGCACATTAATTTTAGTGACACATTTTCTTTACCTAATAATTATTCCTCTTCCTCTTCCTCTTCTTCTATTGCTTCTAATTTAGATTATTTATTTGGATTCTTTTGGGATCAACAATTATATGATCACCCTTAAGCTTTTTTCTTTTAAAAAATATGAACGAAAGGCTAAAATAGTGGATTGAGTAGAATGATTTTATGGATATTATTTATTAACTGGTGTAAAAAAAAGTAAATAAATAAACATCAAAATTTATTTAATTCTATTACAAATACTGGAGAGAGGAATTAAAAGTTACTGTGTATTATAAAGTCGTTTATACCTTTGCAGTAATTTTTTTCCATAAGTGAACAGAATCTTTAAGATCAATATTCCACGTGCAATATCGTTGGGCATTATTCTCATTTTCATTTTTAAGCAGATATTGGTAACGCTAAAAGAAAATCAGGCCTCGGGTTTTAATTTTTTGTAATTTACTAATTATACAGATTTTCAAAGATCAATTGGGTAACGGTAAATTATAATTTTAAAAGCTCGAATTCTAATTTTCCTTTGGCGTCATTAGTGATGTGCCACGTACAGTACGGATACGTGTTACTTCACCGGCAATCACTTCACTGACAGCTTAGTTCACCGACAATTAATTTACAGACAAGTTCATTTCACCGACAAGTTCATTTCACCGACAATAATCTTACCGACAAGTTCATTTCACCGACAATAAACTTACCGACAGGTTCATTTCACCGACAATTATTTCACTGACAGCTCATTTCACAGACAAGTATTTTTTATAAATTAAACTAACCTTAACTCTAATTTAAACCTAACAATAAAAACAATGATCAGAATTACTTTGTTGGTGAAATGAGCTGTCAGTAAAATAATTGTCGGTAAAATGAACTTGTCGGTAAGTTAATTGTCAATGAAGCTGTCAGTGAAGTGATCGTCGGCAAAATGCGCACCACCAGTACAGTACTATATGTATTGTATGTATTGTACGTTGTAAAGGTGGTGATCAATCTGGAGTCACAAAATATGGGTAATACGGATATCAACTAAGACTAAACTAATCCAAATCAACACTACAACAGCTAAACTCTATCCAGCCCCAATGTGGAAGGCACGAAAGAGGGCGTGGAAAGACTTGGTCCGAGTTATTAGGATCAAATAGAACTCTAGATTACGTCACGAGGCTCTTACGAAGGACTTATGAAATTAAACGACTAACTCTATGTAAATTTAACTTATCGGGTTAATTGGAGCGCAAATTAAAGTCAAGATAATAGACTTTAATTGAGTCGAACTCTAGTAAGTTGTACGGGACACTTCAAGAAAGATGAATCCAGTGTACCAACCCTGAGTTATGAACTCTAAGTGAGTTGTGCCAACTCTCTGTTTTTTTTTTTATTGAAGGTAAGCTCAAGGCTCTTATATACAAAAATTTACAGACTAAAAAGTGAGTGAATTCACTCTCTTACTTTGCTTACTTCTCGTACTTCACTTTACTCACGTTTCTAAAAAGGAAATTACAATCAAAATAGGAATAAAATTAAACACAGCTCAATCTCGGGTGGTGTTGTTGCATCTAAAGTAGCTACTTTAGATATATAAAGTAGCGCCTGACTAAAATTAGGCCCCTGAAATTAGATCTTCATGCATGCACTAAATCGTAATTCTAGCCCAGGGCTACTTTAGATAGGGTGGCTACTTTAGATGCAACAGTGTTACGCCAAAAATTATTTGGAGCCATAATTCACCCTTTCACGACGTACTGTACGCTAAAATTTTTGCCGATCATTTATTAAGAGGGACCTGAAAGAATATTGATATGCAGTTGACCAATCATTATTTGCTAAATTGATCAACACGTGTTTTTGTATTAAATATATTAAGGTTTTTTTTTCTTAATAATATATATACATGATTATATATTTATATAAATTATATAAGTTATATTTTATAAAGATATATATGTATAAAATTATAAATATTATTAAATGAAAAATTTAAATTAATTCGTGATCCAGTGAAAGAAGTAAGCTGCGGGGATATGTTTACTATGTAATTCCTTTTTTGGAATCTAGCGTTTCCCTAAAGATAAAACGATTTCGTAATAAGCAACTCTCTCTTGTACGCATAACAAATGTTGTAGAGGAGGAAATTAGCATAATGGTAGCTGAAACATCGAAATTGACCTAGTAAATCGTGAGATATGGGTCGTACTCCTTTTCTTAAAATTTTTCTTCTTCATATGGGCATTTTCGTCTTTACGACTATCTGTTTACTTATTTGTTAACATTATATAGGTGTGAGGACAAATACGCCTATATTTCACGACTCACTAGGCCGATTTTAGTGTTTCAACTACCATTATGCTCGTATTTTCTCATCCACAACGGTTATTATGCGCATGAGTTTTTATAGTACGAAATCGATTATCTTTAGGGCAACGCCAGATTCTGAAAAAGGCAAAATTTAAGTTAAAATCACCGAAAATCACATGATTTGTCACTGGTTCCCAAGCGGATCACGAATTAATTAAATATTAATATAATAAACTGCATTTATTAATATATTACTAATTTGATACGTATAATAATATTTATTATTAAAATAGATTAAATATTATATTAATTGTAATATAGACTATTGTTAAAAAAAATTTAAAATGTAACTACTAAAGCAACTTTATTATATAAGTACTATACGTACAGTACGTACAGTACGTACTGTACGCTAAAAAAATTTGGACATCATATAAATGGCACATCACTAGGCGTCATCCGTTTTCTTACTTGCACGTGATCTAATTGATCTCATATAACCAATTGTTTGCAGATCGCGAATTAAAGCAGTTACGACTGGTTTGGGAATATCGGCGGATTTCATAAATAGAAAAACCCATGAGCCGTAACTCTGGTCAAATTTGCAGATCATTTAGCCTGGTTTGAATTATTTGACTTCAAAGCTGGCCAAATGATCTTTCTATTTATCAAAATTCCGCAAATCCGCCGATATGGAGAGCAATACGAACAAATGCAAGTTTAACTCCAGTTGCAACAGTGGACCAGTTTATTAAAGATCGCTTTACTAGTATATTAAAGATCGCTTTACTAGTAATTTATTTTCTATTATTCGGAATAGGATAATTCTTTTATTGACATATGAAAAACTATTTTTTATCCTTCTTTATAAACTTCTGCGCTCTACCACTTGCACTCATAATCTTGCCCATCTCAATCCTGCACATGGGTTTGATATTCAAACAGTATCTTGCAAAATAATCGTGCATATGACTAGTATTAATTCCCAGCCAAAAATAATACATGCAACAGGAAAACTGACAATATATGCATTATTTTCCTTATATAAAATACTGTACACTGATCATTCATGTTATTTCAACAAAGTCCTCGTGTAATTAAGGCATATATAAATTGCGAACAAAATGAATAATGCTCTAGAAAAGAAAACTATCCTTATTGATTCGAGTAAAAAATTGTTACGGGGTGAACCGTACGTTTAATAATCTATACTTTAAAATATAGACTTTTATGACATAAGGCAACTCGCCAGAGGCGTGACATTGGTGATTTGGTTAATTATAATATAAGGAATTATTATCGGGTTAGTGATATTATGTGCCCCTTCCTCGCACATAATTGTCGTAACCAACCTTAACTAAGTTACGTCCTTTTTATAACTTTAAAGGATTAATGAGGCTTATAGAAAACTCACCTTCTTGTATAGAGACTTACTTTCGATCAGCTAAGATCTATCGCAGATCACCTAAGCCTTGTTGATCGAATACGTAATTAACTTTCTCGAAGCATCTTCAGGATCATCATTTCCAGAAGTCTTATTCACGTGATTATATTAAGATCGACTGTTTGAGTTTGGCAATATCACTTGTAGCCCGTGGCAAAATGTAGACTAAAGACGATAGTAGACCTTAGAACGGAACTATGTTCTTAACGCTCTGAAATTAACTTTGATAGAAGATTTATACAATTATCCATTTTTTTGTAATCCCTAATATTGTGTGGGTTTACGTATTGACCTTTACAGATAAAAATAATAATATAACTTATATACTCTTAAATGACATCAAAATGTCCATATTCTTCAAGAAATCGATCCTTTTCTTTACCAAGCATATACCAATACTGGCTATTTTATGCTAAACAATCACTTAATTTATATTAAACCAACAAGTTTATCGGTAGTAATACATTCCCTTAATTAATTTTCTTGGTTTAATATTATTATTACTGTATTGCCTACTGGTAACAATGCCCTATTAATCACGTCAGTAATTTCTATTTAGTATTAAGGCTATTTAAAAACAAGCTTAAATTATCAAAGATCTGACGGAAGTCGAATTTGAGGTGCAAAAAATGTATATTTTTTATTTTTATTTACACATTAAGTGAATTACAGATCCTAAATAGTAAACATCAAAGTATTAATTCCTTTTTAAATATGTTAAAATTAAATATTACAGAATCTCAAGAAAACAATTGAAGGGAAACATTCGTAAAATTAAAATAGAAAAAATATAGCACCCAATCAGAATTTAATTATGCGTAGTAGAAGTAAGAAAGAACTCAAATATCGAAAAAATTCATGTACTGTATGTTAAAGGTCATACAAATGAGAAACGTAGCAAGGAAAATTCCGCGAAATGACAAGAATTATTACCTGATGAAAAGAGAAGTAGTTATCTAAACATATTTATATATGCTGCAAAGTTACTAAATCTAAATATGTAGACGACAATAATTCATATTTGCAATAGATACAGCTGACTTGTATTCATTAATGCTAGCATAATTTTCTCATAATATGATAAGAAATTTTAGGTCTAAAGCAATTATATAATTTTTAACTTATCTCTACTAGAAGTAATTATTATCTTTAAATCATATTGTTAATTAAGTAACTGATATAATCAAAATTCAATATTGATTTTCTAAATATAAATTTTTACGTCATTCATTTTTATATTCACTTAAAATCTTTCCCAGTATTAACAATAAAGAATATTACTAACTATAACCGGTGGTGACCATCACCAGGGTGCTTATATATTAAATATATAAAAAAAAAATTTAAAACTGCGCCCTAACCCTAAAAATATCTATGGGTAGTGACAATCACCACCGGTTATTTGTAGTAAAACTCAACAATGAATATCAATATAATTTTCATTTTACACAGCAATATATATATATGTATAATTGATATACATTGGCCGATAACATAAATGAATATCATCCGATGTATAT